CCTTCACCTCCATCATGGACGCGCTCGTCCGCATCAGCGTGAGCGGCGGCGGGGGTGGCACCGCGGGGCGGCCGGGCCGGGCCGGGCCGGGCCGGGCTCTCCCGGTACCGGCGTCGCCATGGCAACGCGACGGGGCCCGGCGGCGAGGGCGGGCGGGATGGCGGGGGTGCCCTTGAGGACCGGGCAGGCCGCGGAGAGGCCTCGGACCCGCGCCCCGACCCACCGGGCCTGGGGCCGCCGGGCGGCGATCCCCGCGGAAGGCCGGCCCCGGCCCCCCCGCACCGTGCCGCCGGCCAGGCACCGGGAACACCGGGGGCTGCCAGCACACGCGTGGGCGGGGGGCCCGGTCCCTGTCTTGGCTCCGATCCTGGTCCCCATCCTGGTGCTGGTTCCAGTGCTGGTCCTCATCCTGACGTGCTGCTGCTCCCAGGCCTGGCCCTGGCCCTGATGCTGCTGCCTGTGCTGGTCCTGATCCCGATCCTGGCCCTGATGCCAGCACCAGCCCCAGTCTCCATTCCAGCGGCAGCCCTGGTCCCCATCTTGGCTCTGCTCCCAACCCTGGTCCCCATCCCACCCCTAGTCCCAGTGCTGGTCCTGAGCCTGGCCCTGCTGCTGGCCCCGGTGCTGGTCCTGATCCTGTCCCTGGCACTGGTGCCAGCCTCAGTCCCTGTCCCAGCAACAGCCCTGGTCCCCATCCCAAGTGCTGTGGTCCTGCTCCTGGTCCCCATCCCAGCGCTGGTCCCTATCCCAGCCCTGGTCCCCATCCCAGTGCTGTGGTCCTAGTCCTAGTCCCCATCCCAGCCCTGGTCCCCATCCCAGTGCTGTGGTCCTAGTCCTGGTCCCCATCCCAGCCCTGGTTCCCATCCCAGCCCTGGTCCCCGTGGCAGCCCTGGTCCTAGTGCTGGTCCTAATCCTGACCCTGGTGTTGGTCCCAGTGCTAGTTCTGATCCTGGCCCTGGTTCCAGCTCCAGTCCTAATCCCCATCCCAGTGGCAGCCCTGGTCCTCATCCCAGTGCTGGTCCCAACCCTGGTCCCCATCCTAGTGCTGGTCCTAATCCTCGCCCTGGTTCTGGTCCCAGCCCGGATCCTGGCCCTGGTCCCTGTGGTGGCCCTGGTCCCGTCCATGGTGCGTGACGCTCCCCGCTCTCTCCCCAGACCAGCATGAAGAACATGGAGCGGGAGCTGGTGTGCCCGGTGTGCAAGGAGATGTACAAGCAGCCGCTGGCCCTGCCCTGTGCGCACAATGTCTGCCACGTCTGTGCCAGTGAGGTGCTGCTGCAGCACGGCTACCTCTGCTGTGACCCCACCTCTGAGCCCTCCTCACCCGCCGCCACCCCTGCCACCCGCAGCCCCCGCCTGGGACGCCGGGCTGTCCCCAAGCCTGACCGCCTCGACCGCCTCCTGAAGTCAGGTGGGTCAGATGGAGGGGATGGGAACGGGGTCCGATGGGGTCCCCACAGGAGGCCCAAGTGGCTCTGGGGTGCCATGCTCCCCCTGATGCCCTCCCTCCCGCAGGCTTTGGCACCTACCCGGGGCGCAAGCGGGGCACCGTGCACCCCCAGACCATCAGCTTCCCCTGCCCAGCCTGCCAGCGGGACGTGGACCTGGGTGAGCGGGGCCTGGGCAGCCTTTTCCGCAACCTGACGCTGGAGCGGGTGGTGGAGCGCTACCGCCAGACCATCAACATCAGCGCCGCCATCATGTGCCAGTTCTGCAAGCCCCCGCAGCTGGAGGCCACCAAGGGCTGCACCGAGTGCAAGTCTAGCTTCTGCAATGAGTGCTTCAAGCTCTACCACCCCTGGGGCACCCAGAAAGCCCAGCACGAGCCCACGCCCCCCACCCTCACCTTCCGCCCCAAGGTACGGCTCCCCCGGGGATCTTCCTTTGCTCGGGATTTTTTTGGGTACCTGGCGGGGGGTGCAGGAGGGGGGACGGGCGCAGAGCTCCCACTGAGCTCCCCTGTGCCTGTGCAGGGGCTGATGTGCCCGGAGCACAAGGAGGAGGTGACTCACTACTGCAAGACCTGCCAGCGGCTGGTGTGCCAGCTCTGCCGCGTGCGCCGCACTCACACCAGCCACAAGATCACCCCGGTGCTCAGCGCGTACCAGGCCCTCAGGGTAAGGACCGCGGCACCGAGCTCGGGGCAGGGGACGGGGCTCAGCAGGGAGGAATTGGGGGCACAGATGGGGTGTGCGGGTTGGGGGTGGGGGGACTGCCGGCGCCTCGCCTCATCTCCTTTCCTGCAGGAGAAGCTGTCAAAGAGCCTCGCCTACATCCTGAGCAGCCAGGACACAGTGCAGACCCAGATTGCTGAGCTGGAGGAGACAGTGAAGCACACGGAGGTGAGGGCAGAAGGTGGCTTGCCTATCCCCGAGCTGTCCCTTGGCTGGGGGGTGGCACTGCCAGATGGGTTCCCTCGCTGCCCCCATCACTGACCCAGCTGTGCTGTGCTGTGCTGGGCAGGTGAACGGCTCACAGGCCAAGGAGGAGGTGTCGCAGCTGATCCAGGGGCTGTGCGCCATGCTGGAGGAGAAGAGGGCCACCCTGCTGCAGGCCATCGAGGAGTGCCAGCAGGAGCGGCTGGCCAGCCTGCACGGCCAGATCCAGGAACACCAGGCCATGCTGGAGAACTCGGGCATGGTGGGCTACGCCCAGGAGGTGCTGAAGGAGACTGACCACCCCTGCTTCGTCCAGGCGGCCAAGCAGCTGCACAACAGGTACCAGGGACCCTCATAAGCACGGGGCCACCGGGAAGGGGGTCAGGGCCCTCCACTGCCCAAGGTGGCCATCGCCTGTCTTATGGTTTGAGAGACCCACAACAATTTAGTGTCATTGAGACAATTATTCTCTCACCCAATGACCTCTCCTCACCCGGGAAGAGAAATCGAGGGAAAACAAGGAAACATAAGGGTTGAAATGTAAACAGATTTCCTAGAATAAGACTAAATAATTATCATTAATAATTTTAAAGAACCAGTATTGATCCCGATACCAATATAAAACACACCAGGACTGTCCCCAGCCCATTCCCAGCAGAAGCCGTGCTCTCCCCGCAGGGACAGCCCATGTGGGACCCTGCGAGCGCTGCGGCTTCGGGAGGGAGGGAAGGGCTCAGGGCTCCAGCACCGGGGCAAGGAGTTCTCAGAGAGAGAGAGCTCCTCGGGAAACTTTCTAATTCCTATTGATTGTGCCGTTCATGGAATGAAATAACCCTTTTGACCATGTTGGGTCAGGTGCCCAGGTCTCACTTTTCCTTGTTCCTGGTAAAGCTTGGAAACACTGAGACCTTGAAACCCCCACCCCAGAGCTGGCTGTAAAGTAAATATTTTCCCAAATTCAGACACTGGAGTCTTCTAAAAGTGCGGTTTTCCCAAGCATTGGAAAATAGTCCTGTGTCGCTCAAACCAGGACAGCGTCCCTCCCTGATGTCCCTGTTGTCCTGCAGGATCCTCAGGGCCACCGACTCACTGCAGAGCTTCCGTCCTGCGGCCACTGCCTCTTTCAGCCACTTCCAGCTGGACGTCAGCCGGGAGCTGAAGCTGCTCACCGACCTGGCCTTCATCCGAGGTAAAGGCAGCAGCGCCCGGGCACCGGCTGTGCCCCATGCAGAGGCGCAGCCCCCGTGGGCAGAGCAGCTCCTGCCCGACTCCGAGCCGGGCACTCGCGGATCTGCCGGTCCCCCCTCCCTGTCAGGGACGGCCCCCGCCCCAACAGCCCCTCCCAAAAGCGATCCCTGCCCTGCCCCGTGCCAGGGCAGCTGGGCCAGTGGGCAAGGACAGGCAGGGCCACGGTGGCAGGTAAGGGCAGCAGGAGCGGCGGAGGGTGAGTATGGACGGAGGCTGCCCCACTGCAGGGCAGGCGCTTCCCGCAGGGCAGGAGCCGCGTGGCCCTGCCGGACCCGCTGGCAACACTTTTCAGACCTGCTTCTACCTCTCTTTGTTTATAGGCTGCGGCCGCTGCTGAGTCGTCACTGAAGTAACTGAGGCAAGTCACATCCCTGCCCCAGAGCCGGCCCCGCTCTCTCTGTCCCATCCCGCCATCCCCAGCCCTGCTCCGCCGCCATCCTCCATCCCCATCCCGCCTCCATGCGCTGCCACTCCTCCTGCCCTCCCGTCCCTTCCGCGCTCCATTTCCATCCCCCTCCTGCCCCATCTCCGTCCCCCTCTGCGCCCCATCTCCATCCCCCTTTCATCCCATTTCTGTCCCCCTCACCCCATTTCCATCTCCCTCCGTGCCCCATTTCCATCCCCCTCCGCACCCCATCTCTGTCCCCTCCGCACCCCATCTCTGTCCCTCTTTCGCCCCATTTCCATCCCTCTCTTGCCCCATTTCCATCCCCTTCCTCACCCCATTTCCACTCCCCTCTTGCCTCATCTCTGTCCCCCTCCTCACCCCATCTCAATCCCCTTCCTCACCCCATCTCCACCTCCCTCCTTGCCCCATTTCCATCCCCCTCTTGCCCCATATCTGCCCCCCTCCTTGCCCCACTTCCTCCTGCCATCCCCTCATCTCTCCGCCCCCCCTTCCCACCCTGCCTCCCCACTCCCACCGCGCCGCTGGCATCTTCACACCACCATCCCCATCTCTCCTCTCCTCCTCTCCTGCTGCCTCCATCCTCTCTCTCTCTCTCTCTCTCTCTCTCTTCTCTCTCCTCCCTCCCCGACTTGCACTCAGCCTGTCTGGTCCCTGGAGCCCCACAGCAGCGAGCTCCTCTGTCTCCCTGACTCTCGC